ACAATGAAATACTTTTGCTTAAATTCGCTTCAAACGCTTTATTAATTAACAGCTTTAAAAACTTTCCCCTATATTACCAAAAAAATTTACCCACCTTCTTCGCCTTTCACAAAACACATCAGAGAGCATAGCACAGTGAAAGTACCAAGAGACAAGATGCGAGACATGTTGCCATACTGCTCCTGCAAAATTACCAAAATGTAAAATAGTGCACTGCGTTACTAGCAAGTGAGATGCTTCTTGCCTGGAACTACAGAAGACTCTCTGTGATGTACCACGGAGACAACTGACGTTGATGAATTAGAGATCTATTTCCATCTGCGTAAATTACCTTTAGACATTGCATTAAGTCATTTTTATGGTAGACGTCAGACACCTTATGGAGATATTCTGACTTTTTTTCAGGCCTCATTTCACTACTGCTTAAGTAGTGTTCATCACTGCGAAGATCGCTTCATCCATACTTATCTCTTTCATCGCAGTTCACATATATGATTTTCATGTGTTTAGACATTTATGCCAGTGTATATCAGTAAGCAAGCTGTGGGTGTATATTGGTATTAAAGTTAGAAGTTTTATTATGGTGGCTTTTCAATTGATCCTCGTTATTCAAGTAGTGTCAGTGTCAAAGTTCGTGTATAAGTATAGGTAATCAAATGATTTCGAGTGCAATTTGGAATAAATAATATGACTAACAAAGTTTGTGGTTGAAGATTTAGATATATGAAAATTCACATATTTGCACTGCGGTGGAAAGATGAAATTAGAAGATCCTCGCAGCTAAGAACACTACTGAAACTAGTAGTTGTAAGTAGGACCTGAAAAAAATTTTCAGGCCCGTACGGGATTTGAACCCATGACCTCTGCGATACCGGTGCAGCGCTCTACCAATTGAGCTAACAAGCCAACTGGGAGCTGGTCAATGAATTGGGTACAAATAAACATCCGAGTGAATGAAGATTTCAGGCCCGTACGGGATTTGAACCCATGACCTCTGCGATACCGGTGCAGCGCTCTACCAATTGAGCTAACAAGCCAACAAGCCAAGTTTGTGGTCTTTGAAAAAATTTACAAGTGCTTACTTATTCCAAATTGTACTAGAAAAATCATGTGATGACATATTAATAATATACATGAAAATCTACGAGATAGCCTATCACAATTATGCAGAAGCAAAGCGCGCGCATCAAGTGCAAAAATAATTTATTCAAACCTTGCAAATGACATTGTGCGTTCGGTCAAAACAACTGCGCATGATCTAAACAGCATAATACAATGGTGTTTTCACATCTGCGAGGCGCAAAAAAGTTCAAAGTCCGGCTAAACAGTTCGAGGAATTATTCAGTCTGTGTCCGAATCACTTTCGATGAAATAAGAGCCCGTATAAACAATTTGAGTCATGGATCGACTAAATTCTTGTATTTTTCTTTAAATAGCTATAAGCGAATCATTTTAATTTATTTTCAGTCGAAATGAGTTCGTCAAGCTCAAGTATTTGCTGAAATTACCGTTCGTCTTAAAATTATGCATCAAGCTACTCCAACCGTTTACGGAAAACTGATATACACAATTGAGGTGCTACCTTATCGTGCAATGTAAATCTCAACGAATCTTTAGCTTTTTTCTTTCCTCGTCTGACAGAATTTAAGTTTAGGTTTTTCCACCACGATTTTTTTCAGTCATTTTAGCAATCCTCTGAAAAATTGGTCGAAACGTTGAACTTATGGCGAGGGATCAGAATAACAAATGAAATAATCTACAAATTGAAGACTGACTTACCTAACACGTGGGGACCTAAAGTTTTTGAATTTTTTTTAAATACAAAAGCACTTATGATACAGTTGAACCTTTCCTTACGGACACCTCTGAAATACCAACACCTCGCTAGTAAGTACAGCGGACAATTTTTTAGATCCAGATCAAATTCTGATATCATCTTCTTATAATAGGGAACCTTCCTGATATAGACCCTCCCTAATAGGGACAACGCACGCTGAATCTCAGACGATCATGGTCTCTTGATACTCAGAGAAAAGAAGCACGAGTGTGCCTGTTCATGTTTCTATAGACACTTCGAACTTAGGAGTTATATCGTTCTGAACTTAATGATGAAACGGATAAATCTCCTATACGGACATTTTGCTTCGTCAAGTTGTTTTGTATTACAGAGGTTCGACTGCAGTGTTTTTGCCGCTGTAAGTGTGAATAGTAAGGGTCTAACACCAGCTCGAAATTAAAGAAATGGAACGAGAAACTATCGCAGTATTATTCGAAGGGAAAATTTTCTTCTTGTAACTTTTTAAACAGTACAGAATCGCGCAGAATGTCTGGACATCACTAATTATTCATCAGCACTGAAGCGGGAGATTTGAATGCACTCGCGCCTTAAAAAGCCCATATATAGAGAAGAAAGGGCCGAAACTAGCACAGCAGCGTTGATAAAACAGTAAATATTTTGACATAATAAATTGTCAAAAACTGATTTCAATACGTTTTGACATAAAAAATTATCAAAAACTTATTTTAGACCAAGTCAAAATCGGATTTGAATTAAGGAACCATAAATCCTTACCACAGAATACAATAAAAACGTTTATCGGATTAAACCAAACGAGGTTCCATCTAAAATTTCAGGCCTGTACGGGATTTGATCTGATCCATATTCATTTCTTGTTCCGCAGTTCACATATATGATTTTCATATATTTACAGTCATTTGTTCATCAATTCACGAGTTTATTTAGAACTAAAATGATAACCAGCCCCCAGTTGGCTTATTAGCTCAGTTGGTAGAGCACTGCATCGGTATTGCAGAGGTCATGGATTCAAGTCCTGTACAGGCCCAAAGTAGATCGCTTCCATATTTTTTTCTCCGCAGTTCACATATATGATTTTCATATACTTACAGTCATTTATGCCAGTCAGTAAACAAGCTCCGGGCGTATATTTGTATTAATGTTAGAAGTTTTGTTATGGTGGCTTTTCAATTGACCTCAGTTTTCAAGCAGTAACAGTGTTTAGTTAAGTTAGTTTATCATAAAGAAAAGAAGCAACAAGAAAAGCGATACATTTTATTTACCATTATTTTTTTAAAACGTTGGGACGGCTCGCAAACTTTTGCAACACTGCTGCTGCAATGAGTCATCTATCACATTTTATTCTACTCTGTATCAGTTTCTCCTAATCTTGTAATCCCTAAGAGTAATTGACATCTTCTTTATTTCTCCGTACAGTAACACTCTGAATCAAACGTTGAGGTCATGGCAATAAAGTAAATGATCACTCATTAAGGTCATGAGAGAAGCTCTGAATTGCTGAACAAATTTTCCATCTAAGTACTACTGTCAATGTATAGAGATCAGTATCTATAGACAGTATCCATACCGATCCAATGATGTGAAAGATTTAAAAATGATTCAATGTTCTTCAAACATAGTACACTTGTCTAAACAAGCTCGAATGTAAAAACGATTTCGGTTACTGCTAGATTTAGGGTACTTAGAAAGCGTAAAGTTAATCAGTATTCTATATGTCATTGAATTACCTGATAAATGTATAAAAGACAAAAACTACCTTAATTTTGCTCTCATTATACATTTAAGCCTTCCACTTTATAGACAACATATTTTTTTCATATTAGTTTCAAGCTCAAGCTGAAATTACCGTGCGTCAAACTACTCCAACAGTTTACAGAAAACTGATATACACAATAGATGTGCTATCTTACCGTACTATGTGACGAATCTATCTATGACAACGAATCTTTCGCTTTTTTCTCTCCTCGTCTACATAGACAGAATTTAAGTTTAGCTTTGTCCACCACGATTTTTTCAGTCACTTCGGTAATCCTCTGAAAACTTGGTTGAAACGTTAAACTTATGGCGAGGGATCAGGATAGCAGATGTAGTAACCTACGCATTGAAAACTGACTTACCTAACTCATGGGACCTATGATTTTTGATGTTATAAAAATATCGAGAAAAAGTTTAATTTTTGTTAAATACAAAAGCGCTTATGGTACAGTTGAACCTTTCCTTACGGACACCTCTGCAATACCGGCACCTCGCCAGTAAGTACGGCGGACAATTTTTTATATCCAGATCAAAATTCTGAAATATTCTCTCTGTAATAAGGAACCTTCCTGATAGAGACCCTCTCTAATAAGGACAACGAACCCTGAATCTCAGACAATCAGGGTCTTTTGATACTCAGAGGAAAGAAGCACTCGTGTGCCTGTTCATGTTTCTATAGACACTTCAATCTTGAGAGTTACACCGTATTGAACTTAATGAAACGGACATATTTCTTTTACGGACACTTTGCTTTGTCAATAAGGTTTTTGTATTACAGAGGTTCGTCTGCAGTGTTTTTGCCGCTGTATGTGTAAACAGTTAGGGTCTGATACAAGCTCGAAAATACAGAATGGAACGAGCTGGAACGACTGTTCAAAGAAAAAGAAGAAAAAATTTACTTTCTGTAACTTTTTAAACAGCACAGAATTATCTCAACAGTAAGACGTACCATCAGTAAATAATTGTTGTAAGGATATTATTATGCTGAGATTATGCGCTCTTACACCAAGAACAATTACAATCTTTTCTGCTCAACTGCTGGCTAACACCAATTAGTCACCTAGGCAATCTCGTTGCAACACTTTTTCGTCTCTGTTTTTAGAAAGTAAAGTAAAATGTCGAGGTCTTCGGGTCTTCTTTCGCGATCGATTATATGCGATAATGTCCATTGTGTCTTTTCAACACAAATTAGGAAAAGTAAATTTACAATGCCTACATATGACCAGATCGATGACCATGCGCATTGAAGAGCAGTCTAGGCGAAACTTCGATGAAAATTGTGACTCCGGGAGAGACTTGCAAACGAGAAAATAACATGCAATGAAATGATTAAAAATACAATGACTTTAAGTCAATCTCAACTTCAAGGGCGGTAAATAAGAGAAAATCATAAACATTCATTCTGAATCACTGCACGCTAACGAGACCAGTTAAAATTTACACAAATATGAAATAACAGATGTGTTTACAAAGGAAGTCATAGATCCTTAACTTAAAGTTTTTTTTAACTATTTAGCCCCTGGTTTAATCAGTCCCACAGTAGCGCATAGGACAACCTCGTGTTTTAAACAGTCTGTAGATAAAGTAGGATTCACAATTTTTAACTGAAATTTTTACTCTATGTTTGCAACCGGTGGAACGATCGCTATGGCAGACATCCCTGAGAACTTCACCATCTTCCACTGTAGGATGAACACCATCCAACCAACCTGACCATGTTGTACCACATCTGTATGCTGGCACACGCGTTGTTGGCATTTTTGTTCCAGCACCTCCCACAAAACGATACCATCCCTCAATGAGATTGATGTCACAAAAATTATCATTAAGGGTTGTTATGTAGTCATATTTTCTCTTAGACTCTGTCAGACTTGTGTAGTTGTAACAACCATCGGCTAGAGAATCATATATAATTCAAAGAGGAAATATTAATGATAATCGTGTTTATCAAAGTTAGAACTTTCAATAATTAATTGCAGTTAAAGATTCTTAATGCTTTACAAGTATACCATGCACCTTTAATAGAAAAAAACAGGTAAATTTCTACCAACTTTGCAATTACATTTCCTTACCTACCACCTACAAATTTCTTCCCTATGATTTTCGTTTCTCTTTCCAAATGACGCACAAGTATAATATTTTTTTTATTTGGGCGATGACAGTTTCGAACTAAAGAGAGGACGTTTAGAGGAACTAGGAATTTGAATTCAAAGCTAAGGGTTCACCTCAAAAAGGCTTAAATAAGCTAACATGATCACCTTTCAATAACAAATTAGGCATTTGAGTGCCTCTCATGTTTGGTAGTTTTTGTTAGTATTGCCGCCAGAAGTAGCTCAGGATCAACTAATATCGCTGATCAAATCAAGGCTCACATTCAAAAAAATTAATCTCTTTGTCGGAAAACATGTCCTCGTCAATTATTTTCGTTACTGCTCTTATCACACAATGAAAATGAGACTGAAATCCGATTTCTACGTTTTAATGTTAAGAAAGAATTACAAGCAGATGGAAAAATAAACAGACGAACAAAATGAATGATAATCAGACAGACAAACAAAAAGACAAACAGTCTAATAATAGGTATTATGACAGAGAAAGCATCGGACCAAGAGAAAGAGAGAAAAGATGAAGAAACAGACAGAAAAATAGTGAGAAAGACTCCTTGAAACGGCGTTCACATGGGGCTAAATAATACTAGAGTAAACAGACCTTCGCATTTTATGCCATTCCAGAAATATCGAGTCTGACAGGTGCAGTTGAATGACCCTACAGTGTTTGTGCAATCGGCACCACCCATGGTGCAGTTATTATCAACCAATTTACACTCGTCAATATCTGAAAGTAACACAAGGACATTCTTAAGAGGTCTGGAGGAATGGGTGACATCAAAAGATTACATGGGCTTCTAAACATCTCCCCTTCATTTCTAACCTTCATTTAAACCATAAAATAAATGCCACATGCACAAGCAGTTAAAAGTTGAGGAATAGGGCTTATAGACCTTCTTGTGTTACGGCAGGAATGAGGCGGGGCCTGCATGTAGAATAGCTGATGGATAATGTTTTTCTTATTTGGTGATCATCAGTCAACACTTACCTTTGCACGTTATGCCATCTCCTGTGAATCCTTCTTTACATTTGCAGTAGTAGGATCCACGGGTATTTATACATTCAGCATTTGAATCACATTTGTTTTCTCCCAGACCACACTCATCAACGTCTTAAAGAAAGGATCATGTAGAAATTTAATTACAGAGATTTCGAGACCACAGACTTCTAATGAAGCACAGTACAAAATGAGTCAGGGTCTGCGTATCTTTTATTTATTAGGGACTTAAAGAAAACCTTGACGACGACAGTAAAGAAGACGTAGCGAAACAAAAGATCTAATAAGCAAAGCAACTGTGCAGCACGTGCGTTATAAGAATTTGTACCTTTCTTAGCCACCTCATACAGAACAAAATCTTGAAATCACTTACTTTAACGTCCTCTAACCAATAAAGTCACTCTTTGAAAGAAGTCGCACCGTCAAGAACGGTAAACGCATCGAGCTACTGGCAGGGTTGCATTGTAGAGAGGGTTCATCGCGTTCTCCATTGCTAGAAGCGGCAATAAGGATATCCTTCTCCGGATAAACGCCTTTCGACCTACCCCCCCCCTTCCTACTTCCCCCAATACTTCCTTCCCTAGTTTTCTCTCATAGTTCACCGCTGCTCTTTCTTCATCATCAATGAAAAATAGAAAAAGTGCATGAGGAGAGTACTAAATAATTTATTTAAAACAATGGTCACCGACTTTCCTAATCGTTAAGTGACTACTAATACTTAGATATTGAACACGTATATCTGCCTCACCTTTTGTGCAATCTTCACCTGTGTAACCCGGTACGCAGACACATCTATACCCCTCACTGGAAAAACCGGCCTGGCAGATCGCATTACTCGGGCATGGCTTCTTTATGCAAGCGTTCTTTACAAAGAAGCAAAAAAGGACAAGTCAAGGCTTATCTACGCAATTACAAGGCGGGAAGGGAAGGGTAAGGAATACATTGAAATAGTCATTCTTAGGGCGGATAAATGAAACAACGAGAGCGGTTTAAAATGATCATCAATTGTTGGCAATACTTCCAGAAAACTTTAATATTGCATGCTTTTTTTACAATCAAATAAATTAAATATACATGTACTTGCTTTGTGAATAAATCGGTCACAAGTGATTAAAAGCTAATGAAGGAAAGGCAAATAATTGAAATAAATTCGTAGATTAGCAATTAAAATTACAGCAGCCCAAAACTTGTGTTTTTTTCATCCGGCGCTCAAACTGCGTTTTCTAATACCATACTCTCTATATTCAAAGGGCAATCGAATTCAATCAAGGTTGCAATTGACTCATGCTTATAATTATATCTTTGACGTTCGGTAAATATCGAAACTTCGGTGAGATAACGATAAGCGTTATTTTGTAAGCTACGTCTCAGAACCAATCGCGTTAATTGCAAACAATGTTAATTGAAAGCACTTCACCTAACAGCCGTGTATGCCAACTGGGAGCTGGTCATTATGTTGGTTTCAAATAAACCCGTGAGGGGAATAATAAATGACTGTAAATATATGAAAATCATATATATGAACTCCGGACCAGCTCCCAGTTGGCTTGTGAGCTCAGTTGGTAGAGCGCTGCACCGATATCGCGAAGGTCATGGGTTCAAATTCCGTAAAAGCCTGAATTTTTTTCAGGCCTTATTTTCACTACAGTTTAAGTAGGTTCATTAAAGCGAAGATCGCTTTCAAATTTTTTTCTTTAACCGCAGTTCACATATATGGTTTTTATATATTTACAGTCAAAATTAAAAAGATGTGAATAAACCAGTAAAAAAATGAATTGTCACAAAGACATGCGGATTGGCCGAAAGAAGACCTCTGTTATCCTAATCATTGCAGCTATAAACACACCTTGGATCCACGATAAGTGCTGTTTGGAAATGACACCAGATCACTCGGATGTTCAAAATGTGTAGCGTTATTCATCTCGCATTTGGTGATCGAGGGATAATCATTGGATACTAATATATTATAGCTGATACAGTTGGGTTCCATAAAACACAATGCTCCACAGAAGTCCCTTGCGACGTTGTCAACTTCTGTTATCTTGTGGTTAAGCAGCCGTTTTCCTCTAAATGCAAGGGCAGCACTGAACTCCAATTGACGACATTGTTCTGTAGAAAAGAATGATATTTTCCGATAGGAAGAACATAATACCACTGGTTACAAGGGAATGCTCTATTTGACAAAGACACCGGATCTAGTAGTAAAGGTAAATAATAGGGGAGGGATGGAGGTAGAGAAATTGGTAAAGGAAACTGCAGTCAACGTCATACAGAAAGTGTACGTATTTAAATCAAAGAAAAAACCATAGCATGAGGTTTCGATTACATCCTGTTATTATTGTCAAAATTGAAAGGGATTGGCATAATTGATGTACTATATGTAAATATATATAGAAATGTTAAGGTACATAAATGATTTCTTTAATGAGAACAAAGCTTAAAAGTGTGCTTTGTATTCATATAAATAATTTCGCCCGAATGGAGTCTGGGTAAGTGTTATAAATAAATAACTTTATTAATAATGTACACGAAAAAATTATACGCTTCTGATTAGCTGAAAACGAGTGCATTCTCGTGTAACACGAGTGCAAAGTCATAACGCGGGTCCAAAGTCGTAACACCAGGGCAAAATAAGCGCGCGCACGCTTTCAAAATTTCGTCTGTCTTCACCTCCTGCGATGTTTTTTTCATGTACATTATAACAAGTAATAACATGATTCCCCCAGCAATTTTTTTGTAATAAGTACATGTAAATTTTTCAGACTACAAATTGCACTTGCCCTACGGGCTCGTGCAATTTTGTTGTCTTTGAAAAATATATACTCGTGCTTATTTACACCAAATTGCACTCGAAATCATGTCGTTGCCTAAACTTAACGAGGGTGGATGGCCCTCCCTAGACTTTATGGTCTTACATGAATTTGTAAAGTTAACCTAGAATCAATCAAACTACAAGCCATGACTGAATACTACGATATTGAGTAATGTTCTGTAAGGTTAATGTCTGGTCTTTTCTTTTTCATAAGGAGGATCTCGAATATAAGATAGTCGAGCTTTCTAGGGCACTTCTTTCGAATTGCGAAATTCTCACTAGGTTCGCTGCTCTTAGATTGTGTTGTACGTACCACTATGCAGTGTGTTGTTTTGGAAGTGGCTGCAGGTGTTACTTGTATGGTTTCCCAGGAGAGGCTTAAAGCTTTCTGTTTTGTCTTCTTTTCAAATAAATATCGAAACTTATCACATTGAAACAGTTTATTGATATGTTTAGGGGGAGAAATTTATAGTTTTGTTGTGTTATGTTTTCTTTTTTCTTTTTTTTTATTTTCAGAGACTTAAACAAGCAGGATTGCGACAGACGTTGCCTTGAAAAAGTTTCGTTTCATTTTATAATTTTCACGTTTGTCCTTAAAGCGTTGCCTTTTGTATCTGATGAGTTATGGTATAATTTAAGCTCCTGTTTTCAACTACTTCGCAGAAGTCACCAAACTTTTGACATGGGGCTGATTTCAATTAAGGCATAAGTGTATTCTTTTTGTAAAAATAAATAATTGATAGGTGATATTTCAGTTCTGTACCTGTCAAAGGGGAAAGATGCAAATTTTGTTGAAGAATTGATATTTCAAAACACGAAAAGTTAGTATCGAGACGAACAATTTAGGATCTAGGATTTAGATTGGAGCAAATTTTAGTGGGCAGCTTTCATGAAAGTCCCGGTGTTTTTCCAAGTTATTATGTCAGTGTAGAATACAGATAATGATGATAAAAAGATGAGACAAAACTAAATTCGGTTATTTCTTTCGAGATGATTGTGTTCCTTTTGAATTCCAGTCTTTAGATAACTAAAGGAAATTACGTTGTTTTATCGAAGCTAATCCCTTACCCGTGAATTTGAAGCCATAAAACGATTAAATTTCTTTCAGAAGGAACTATCTCCAAATTTAGATTGAGGTGTATTCGACGGAAGTTCACGCGATAAAAAGGTTGTGTCGACATTTCGACCGTTTTTACGATTCTACATATTTGCTTCTGATGCTAATCGATAATCATTTTTAAAGCCACAGTTAAAGGACTAATTAGACTTTCGGGGAAGTTTTTGAAATTTCTACTTATTTATTTCGTTGTGTAAATATGCTGAGAGAAAAATGGATGATTAAGCTTCACTTTAGCTCTCTAAATTCATAGTCATACTCATGAAAATAACGGCACTTACGGAGTTTTTTCTTCAGCGTCAAAGCATACTAACAAATTAAAGAGAGTGTAACACGAATTTGTGCCGAACTTATAGCCTAAAATTCATGATCCTTTCATCCCAACCGCCTGCTTAAAAAAATTTGCGTGAGGTAGATCCCACCTGTCTTTGACGATTAACTTCTCCTCATAATAGCTTTATAAACATTTTACTCTCCTATAAGAAAGTAGAACATTTTGAAAACCTTGGAAATTTTGTAATGGTCACAATAGAACACTCGCAATGAATTGTTTTGTTTATTCCAGCTTCCAACACATTATAAAATTTAAAAAAAAAAAATTTTCTCCTTATACTGATTGAAAAATCTACCCACCTTCTTCGCACTTCATAGCATACATCAGAGAGCACAGCATAATGAAGATACCGAGAGACACGATGCGAGACATGTTGCAAAACTGCTCCCGCCAAATTACCAAAATGTAAGATTGTGCACCGCGTTACTTGCATGCAAGACGCTTCTCGCCTGGAGCTTCTGAAGACTCAGTGTGATGTAAAACTGAGACAATTAACGTTGATGAATTAGAGATCTATTTCCATCTACGTAAATTAACTTTAAGCAGTGCATTAAGTAATTGTTATGATAGACGTCAGTCACCTTATTGAGATATTCTGACTTTTTTCAGGCCTTAATTTCACTACTCCTTAAGTAGTGTTCAATATTTCGAAAGTCGCTTCCATATTTATCAATTTCACCGCGGTTCACATATATGATTTTCATATATTTAGTAATTTATGCCGGTTTATATCAGTAAGCAAGATGTGGGTGTATATTGGTATTAGTGTTAGAAGTTTTATTATGGTGACTTTTCAATTGATTCTCATAACTCAAGTAGTTTCAGTGTTGCAAGTAAAGTTAGAGTATAAATGAAGAAAAAAAGAAACAAGAAAAACGATACATTTAATTTACCGTCATTTTCTAAACAGAACTTGCGATCAATCAAAACTACAAGCCATGACTGAATACTACGATATTGAGTAATGTTCTGTAAGGTTAATGTCCGGTCTTTTCTTTTTTTATAAGGAGGATCTCGAATATAAGATAGTCGAGCTTTCTAGAGCACTTCTTTAGAATTGCGAAATTCTCACGTAGGTTCGCTGTTCTTAGATTGTGTTGTATGTACCACTATGCAGTGCGTTGTTTTGAAATTTATAATTTTGTTTTGTTGTGTTTTGTTGTGTTTTGTTGTGTTTTTGTTTTTATTTTCAGAGACTTAAACAAGGAGGATTGCAACAGACATCGTCTTGAAAAAGATTTGTTCCATTTTATAATTTCCAATTGCGTTCTTAAAGCGTCGCCTTTTGTATCTCAGTGATGAGTTATGGGGTAATTTGAGCTCGTGTTTTCAACTACTTTGCAGAAGTCAACAAACTTTTGGCATGGGGCTGATTTTAATTAAGGCATAAGTGTATTTATTTTGTAAATAATCGATAGGTGAATCTTCAATTCTGTACCTGTCAAAGGAAAAAGATGCAAATTTTGTTGAAGAATTGGCATTTCAAAACACGAAAAGTTAGTATCGAGACGAGCAATTTAGGATCTAGGATGTAGATTGGAGAAAAATTTAGGGGGCAACTTTCCCAGTGTTTTTCCAAGTTCATTATGTCAGTGTAGAATACAGACAATGATGATAAAAAGATGAGACAAAAATAAATTCGGTTATTTCTTTCGAGATGATTGTGTTCCTTAAGAATTCCAGTTTCTAGATAATTGATGGATATTTCGTTGTTTAATCGAAACTTATTCCTTACTCGTGAATTGAAACCACCAAACGTTTACATTTTTTCAGAAGGAGCTATCTCTAAATTTAGATTTAGATGTATTCGACGGAAGTTCACGCGATAAAAAGGTTGTGTCGACATTTCGACCGTTTTTACAATTCTACATATTTGCTTCTGATCCTAATCGAAAAACATTTTCAAAACGACAGTTAAAGGACTAATTAGATATTCGGGGGAGGTTTTTGAAATTTTATATTTATTTATTTCGTTGTGTAAATATGCTGAGAGAAAAATGGAGGATTAAGCTTCACTTTAGCTGACTAAATTCCATAGTCATACTATGAAATTTTGTGAGCGGCACTTTAGGAGTTTTTTCTTCAGCGTCAAAGCATACTAACAAATTAAAAATTTTTGCCGAATTTATAGCCTAAACTTCATGATCCTTTTATCCCAACCGCCCGCCTAAAACAGCTTGCGTGAGGTAGATCCCACCTTTCTTTTAGGAGATTTACATATCCTCATAATGGCTTTATAAACATTTTTACTCTCCTATTAGAAGGTAGAACATTTTGAAAACTTGGGAATTTTGGTAATAGTCACAATAGAGCATTCGAAGTGAATTACTTTCGTTTATTCCTGCTTCAAACGCATTATAAATTTCCAGTTTTTCTGGAAAATTTTCCCTGATATTAATAAAAAAATCTACCCATCTTCTTTACATTTCACAACACACATCAGAGAGCACAGCACAGTGAAGGTACCAAGAAACAAGATGCGAGACATGTTGCCAAACTGCTTTTGCAAAATTACCAAAGTGTAAAATCGTGCACCGCGTTACTAGAATGTAAGACGCTTCTCGCCTGGAACAAGACTCTGTGTGATGTACCACGGAGACAATGCACGTTTATGAATTAGAGATCTATTTCTATCTGCGTAAATTACCTTTAGGTATTGCATTAAGTAATTGTTATGGTAGACGTCAGACACCTGGAGATATTCTGGCTTTTTTCAGGCCTTAATTTCACCACTACTTAAGTAGTGTTCAATGCTGCGAAGGTCGTTTTAATACTTATCTCTTCCACCGCAGTTCACATATATGATTTTCATGATTTAGTCATTTAGGCCAGTCTATATCAGTAAGCAAGCTGTGGGTGTATATTGTTAGAAGTTTTATTATGGTTGCTTTTCAATTGATCCTCATTATTCAAGTAGTGTCAGTCATGCAAGTAAAGTTAGTATATAAGTATAAGTAATCCCATGATTTCGAGTGCAATTTGGAATAAATAGGCACGAGTAAATGTTTTTTCAAAGACTAACATTTTACAACTGCTTATTTACGAGAAAAATCATGTGATTACGTATTAATAATACACATGAAAAACTACGAGATAGCTTATCATAATTATGCAGAAGCAAGGCGCGCGCATCAAGTGCAAAAATAATTTATTCAAACCCTGCAAATGACATTGTGCGTTCGGTCAAAACAATCGCGTACGATCTAAACAATAAATACAAAGATGTTTTCACATCTTTAAGGCGCAAAAAGTTCAAAGTCCGGCTAAAAAGTTCAAGGAGTTATTCAGTCGGTGTCCGAGTCACTTTCGATTAAATGAAATCGTCGTTTGCGAGGTTTAACTATGCTTGTTTTTAATTTCGGCGTAGAATCGCTCGAGCAGAGTGTTTTAATTGTGCTCCTAATTTTCGATTTCCTTGGCAATTCCCTCCTCTAATCACCACTTTTTCCAAGCCGACAACCAAATTGCGGTTATAACTTATTTTCAGTCGAAATAAGTTCGTCAAGTTCAAGTATTTGCTGAAATTACCGTTCGTCTTAAAATTATGCATCAAACTACTCCAACCGTTTACGGAAAACTGATATACACAATTGGGGTTGCCACCTTATTGTAAAATGTAAATCTCAACGAATCTTTCACATTTTCCTCTCCTCGTCTGACAGAATATAAGTTTAGGTTTGTCCACCACGATTTTTTCAGTCATTTTAGCAATCCTCCAAAAAATTGGTTGAAACGTTGAACTTTTGGTGAGGGATCAGAATAACAGATGAAATAATCTACAAATTGAAGACTGACTTACCAAACACGTGGGGACCTAAAGTTTTTGAACTTTTGTTAAATACAAAAGCAATCTTCTTCTTATAATAAGGAACCCTCCTGATATGGACCCTCTCTAATAAGGACAACGCACGCTGAATCTCAGACAATCATGGTCTCTTGATACCCAGAGAAAAGAAGCACGAGTATGCCTGTTCATGTTTCTATAGACACTTCAATCTTAAGAGTTACACCGTACTAAACTTAATAATGAAACGGACAGATCTCTTATACTGACATTTTACTTCGTCCATAAGTTCTTTTGTATTACAGAAGTTCGACTGCAGTGTTTTTTCCGCTGTAAGTATGAATAGTTAGGGTCTAACACTACCTCGAAATTTAAGAAATGGAACGAGAAAATATTGCACCATTATTATTTTTTAAACACCTCTTCACTAAACCTAAAATATGAGCGTTACGGCGATCTTCTAAACTCTGAAATTTAAGATAGTCGGTGGATGTTGTACCACATTTAGATTTAACTATAATTTTCGAGGCCCGCCTTTACAAAGATTCAAAACTTTCCATATCTGCTTTATTGCAGCTGGACCAAACAACATCACAATAATCAAAAATGGGCAAAATTAATGAATTATACATCTCGAAAGCTGCATGTATAGTGATATTCCTACTGAGGCGCCCTAAGACACCAACTCTTTTACCAACTTTAGAAATAACATAACGAACATGGTCTTTCCACGTAAGACTATCGTCAAGAACGATGCCTAAATACTTAAACTCATAAACTCTATTAATTTCACAATCACCTATTTTGATAACTACTGTGTCAGTAGCTTTAGAAAGCCTAGCATCAGTTCCAAAAATTACGAATTCTGTTTTTCTTTGGTTGATAAAAAGAAAATTACTGAGAGTCCATTTATTCGCTTCATCTAGTTCGGCATTCAAAGTTTCTTCCAAGATTTTAATGTCCTTGTGGGCTGCAAAAACAACCGCATCATCAGCCTATAATAATATATTACATTTGCTGATAGCAGTAGGTAAATCATAGATGAACAGCACAAACAACAATGGTCCAAGGATTGAACCTTGCAGCACACCAAAAGCAACATCACAAGGGTCTGACAGAGTACTTTGGACTGTCACCACTTGTCTTCTATCGGTAAGGTAATCCCTAAACCATCCAAGCTCTTTTCCAGTAACTCCATATCCCATAGTGAGTTTCTCTAGTAGCAGGTCATGGTCCACTTATCGAACGCTTTCCGCAAATCGATGAAAACTGCTTCAGTTAGTAGACCCTGATCCATACTGCGCCTTATGCTGTCAGTGAACGATAAGACAGCCAAATCAGTAGAGTGGCCCTTGCGGAAGCCACATTGCTAGGGACTCAATAACTTTTCTCTAGCCAGAAAATCATATAACTGCGTGTGCACTACTCTTTCCAGAACCTTGGATATGGTCGGTAGTACAGATATCGGTCGATAATTATCCATGTCATTTGATTTGCCATTCTTGAACAAAGGATTTTCACGTGCCCATTTCCATTCAGAGGGGACGTATCCATAAATCAAAGAAGCATTAATAAGAGTATTAATAAATAATATTAATAGTAAATATGTTTTGACATGAGAAATTATCAAAAACTTATTTTAGACTAAGCCAAAATGTGTTTTGAATTAAGGAACCATAAATCCTTATCACA